CAAGTCACTGCTGCACTCATCTAAAACCAAAACAATTTTGCAGGTCTCTAGGTTTTGAGTGGTTGGTACTGCAAAAGCAAATGATGAGGAAGTTCTATTTCCAGTTTTGGCAAGCTGTTAGGAAGGTTTTTTTCTGATGTAATGCATTTGATCTTGTATGTCTCTAGCCACAGGAGGACTTGCATCCCTGTGGGATGCATAGTTAATTATATTTTGGATACATGCAAGACTGACAGCTATGATACTTTTTTGGTAACTTTTTTGTACTTAAAAAAATCATTTTCTTTTTCACTGCTAGAGAACTTGTTTCAAAAGCTGCCTTTACTTTTCTTTACAAAATATCACGCACCCATCTGTCATTTTATGTAGGTATTTCTCAGCACTGTCACAATAATTTCAAAGCAGACAAAATAATGTATAACTTTAGTTACCAGGAGTCCAACAAGATACTATTCACACTCAATACATTGATTTTCTAGCTTAAATAGTCAAATATAGATTTTCTTGCATGACTATTAATTCTGTGTTGTGAGAAGATGCCAGGGAAAATATAAGTGAGGTTAACATCATGTGTTCCCTGTGATCCCTGTGCCCAGAACACAAAAAATGAGATGAACAGTCTCAAATACTGCATATCCAGTATCTATGCCAATATCAGAGTCAAATATAATCTACAAGGTGTTTTGTCAAGGTATTAAGAGTCTACTTTAAAACTGAAATACCAGTCAGCAAGTTGTACCTCATAAAGTCCCTTTATTAATAGCCAATGTCAAATGAGGATGACTACTCAATAACTTGGTAAAAGGAGAGGCCAACCAGCTACAGGGCAACTATAGAGTTCAAAGCAGTGCTGGGGGGAAAAGGAAGGAAAAAACCCAATACTACAAACAAAACCACATTGCCCCTCCCCTAAAAAAAGTAACCAGCTAATCCTTTTGAAAACATTCCAAGTAACACTATGAAGCAGTATTGCAGAAGAGTCTGGAGCACAAGTCCTGTGGCTGGAGCCAGGTGAGGGTCAGTCTCTTCTACCATGCCTCAGAGGAAATGGCCTTAGGTTGCATCAGGGGAGGTTCAGATTACATACCAGAAATATTTTCTGCACTGAAAGAGCAGTCAGGCATTGAAATAATGTCCAGGGAGATGATGGAGTCACCATCTCAGGAAGTTTCCAAGAAGCAACTGTATGTGGCACTTAGGGATAGGGGTGCTGGGTTGATTGGTGGACTAGATGACCTTGAAGGTCTCTTCTAACCTTGATGATTCTGTGAAGCAGTTACATACAAGAAACCTCTTAAGCTTGAAAATATGAGCCTCATATTTTAAAAATATAAAGCAAATGTATATATGTGTACTAGTGAGGTTGGGGTGAGTCTTGGTTTTTGGTGTTTCTTCTTTTCTCACAGTATAAAATACATACTTGTCTTTTCCTGCAGCTTTTTTCTTTTAAAAAAAGAAAAAGCTTTTTTCTTTTAAAATAAAAGTCAGCATTTAAAATGCATTTATACTGAAGCAAACCTGAAGCCCTGTCTAAAAATATCCATTATTAATTCCTACTGCAGAACAGCCATGTGTTATGCACTTTCAAGGGTTTTCTCAAAGTAATTAGTGCATATGTTCTTTGAAAACAACATCTGACTTGTGTCAATCACACCTATAAGGAGGACTCTGAAACTTAGTCAAAAAAGAAAAGGTTGTGTTGGTGATGGACACCAGCATCACCTAAGTGCTGCAATGGAATGTCTTTCTCAGATGTGTTTTGACTAGTTCATAAAGAAACTCTTAAGTACAATTGTCAGATTTAATAAATCTGTGCTTGGAACAGCAATGCACATGCCAAAACAGCAAAGTGGATTACAATAATTATGCAAAAAACCTGAGGGAACAGACATTCAATATTATTTATCTTTACAATGTAGGCTGTTTTGAGCATTTAGAGAACAGTCCATCCCTTTATTTAAACAACACAAAACCAACCAAACAAAACCAAACATGTCTTCAACACTGTTATACAATTTCTTTTTAAGAGGAACCTCCTTCAATCTCCCTTCCTTCTCAAGGATTTTCTACTGAAAGAAATATATATATTTTCATATTGCAAAGGATGAGACCGTAGATTACTATTAAGGAACTTTGGTGTTTTGGCTGGAGAACTTTTGCTTTGAAAGAACCTAGAAAGCTTCAGTACAAGAGCTGTCACTAAAGCAAGCATTAGAATGTTTCCATTTACATGTCCCTGATCTCCAGGTGTGGTTTAGAACAAGCACCATCTATTTGACTGCTTAATATTCAGCAGGAATCTGCCAGCCAGGTCTTGCATAAAATAGGAACAAATGCTACTTTCTGCTCAGTGAAGTGAGCTCAGTTCTCACTTTAAGTTAAGAGATCCGTGACAGTGTTATCCCTGACAGTATTCTCAGATCTCAAAAATTAAATATTTAAAGACTTAATGAAAGCTAATTACTGAACTGCAGAAAACTCAAATTCAGTTCAGCAAAACATTTGGTGTGGAAAAATAAACTACAGGAACAAGTCAGTGCTCTGTCAAAGTGCAATAGATGTGCTATTTATTCAGTCTGAGCTGTGGTCAGTATTTCCATTAAAAAACTTCTTCATCACAAATTTATTATGGCAGTTACTAAGCAGTTACCTCAAACTGACTTGGCAGACAAATTTTCCTTTAAATTCATAGAGCTCTTCTAATACTTAAAAGGAAAAAAAGAAAAAAGAAAAAGCCTGTTGCTTCTTTTCACAGACAGCAGATTGCTATCAAAAGTGTATTTTCTACTCTTAATTCCCACCATCAGATGCATTTCCCCACCAGGTAAGTCTTCCTAATGCTTGGTCCATTTTCCCTTTTCTGTGTTTCAATCTGCCAGTCACAGTTTTATTTTTGACTGCCTCAGTAAGCATCCTTGAAATACCAGGAAACTCCACTGCTCTACTAGACCTGCACTTGCCAAATTCTGCAGCTGCTGCTCAAGTTACACAGACAAACAACTCCCCAATAATTTTAAATTACAACACGTGTAAATCTAATTAGTCACTGAGTACAGAAAAGTAAAATACTGTATTTTTGAGGACACTGTGGCAATAGAAGCTAAAAGTTATAGTAAACTTTGAAATGGCTTACAATGATAGCTGAATAGGTAGCATATTTCAAACTTGTGAACTTCCTTTGAGGAAGCAATGGAATGCAAGATGTTTCCTTTCTTCTAAAACCAAAATACATTTCTTCAATAAATAAAAATAACAAGACAAAACAAACAAGGAAAAACAAAAAACAACAACCCCCAAATCATACAACCAAACAAAAACCAAACCAAACCAACACAAAAATCCCCAAATAAACAAATCCTACAACCCAATAAACCTCCACAAAAAACACACAACCACAAAACCCCCCCAGGAACAACGACAACGAAAACCAAACAAAAAACCCTCCAAAAATCACCATCCCACCCAAAAAAAACCCCAAAACAAACTTCCACAAACAAAAGAAACCCCAAACAAATCAAAACAAGACCCTGAAAAACCCCACTTCTTCCCCCAAAAAAACAAAACATATAATCCTCTCAGGCTAAGACTATTCTTTAACACAGCAGGTGGACATAACTACCTTAGGCCTGGCTACAATTTTCCAGGGCACAACAATGACCATTATTTTCCCACCTTTTACACAGATAATTAGTACTTTCTCATTCCCCTAGCTCCCTTCAGCATTAAGGCAGCATGTATTAAAAAAATGCATTTTTTCAACTGTTGGCACAGAAAAAATGTTTTGCCCTTAATCCAAGGAGGTGTGGCAGTTATGCTCCTCCACACATGCACCTGGGACAGCCAACCAGGGTAGTCTTTCAAAGCCTAGCAATCAACTGAGACAGTAATCTGACATCTCAAACAACCACCTTGGGTTTCACAGGTCAGACTAGTTTGGAACAACATAGTCACAAGGGAACCACATCGTCACAAGGGAACAATCTTCCCTGTTGTGCTAAGCCAAGGTGAAGACTTAGCCTTTGATTATGTACCAAGGTACACAAGTTGACTAATTGGATTCAGGACAGCAAAAATGTCTCCTTCACAAGAAAAACATTCAGTCAAATTGATTCAAAAAAGCTTTGTTCTACCAGGCTATAGGTATTGGTCTAAAAAAAAACAAACCACATAAGGTGTGTGAAGTAAGGAGAAAAGGAATCCACTAACATAGCAATATTTAACTGGACATTAAATAAACCAAGTATTTTATAAATCTTGAATTACTATGTTGGCGAGACAGTAGTCAGCAAAGGAGCAAATGAGTCTCAAGAAAACTAAAGGATGACTAATCTCTACAGTGCTAATTACCTTGATTACCCTTAATTCATCTGACCAGTAGTTGAAAAGAAGTCACCTTTAGTCCCCCATCAAATCTCAGATATTTGTATTCTGAAAGCAAACACTCCCCTTCTTTTTTGTTGCATTCTAATATTTTTTAAACAGGTCAACCTGGAATCTTAGCACAGTGACTTGTTTTAAGCTCTAAAGGTACATCTTAAAAAATACTGCCCTTCAGAGTCCCCAGCTTTCAGCTCTGGGGACATCCTTTTATGCTCCAGCAAGATTTCTGATCTGGATAACCAAGGGACCAAGGCCACAGGGCAAAACACACTGTACAACAACCATGCTGTACAATTGCTCTGTAATTAGAAACAGACTAACCAACTACAAATAGGACCAAATTGGCTTCTTTTAAATTCTCTGCATCCGAGAAGCACTGCCTTTGCATTGCATTTTTCATAAAGGCTCTAGATTAAATGAAAAGGAAAATTTAAAAGCAAGACAAAATTTACCATAGTAAGAGAATTAGAGGGAAGACAGTAATGATTACTCTTTCAGCTGAACTCCAAATGTCCTACACCATTTCACTTTAGGTTACAATGACAGCCTCAAATTCTACCTTAAAGCATTCTTGGTACAAGCAACTTCATATATGAGACCAGCAGCAAGTAATTACTAACCTTTCTACATTGACTGGCTTGTCAAATTTAAAGAGTATATAATCTCCAGCAACTGGTGTGACAGCCCAGAAAAAATCTTCCCCTACGTAGGTTTTTTCTAGCGTGTGCCCCTGGTAGACTTTTAAAGATGTCGAAACCTCTGCAGGTGGATTCACGTGGATTTTGTGCAGTAATGGTTTCAGGAAGTCTTTATCCTAATTGAAAGACAGACAAACATCATGCTGGTCAGACAACCTTGTTTATTATGTTCCTTTCCCAAGTGGTTACACTTAAAACAAACATTGGCATAAAATGGAAAATGAATGCATTACTCAATGTGGGTGCATCAGATCTTGTACTGCTCAATAATATGGATATTCCATTAAAGTAAAAAAATTAGAAAAAATCCACATAAATATGCTGGATTGGCACTTCTACATTATAGTAGCAACCAGTCTGTATCAGATTTAATTCCAGTTGGAGCAGTATACATCATGCTCGAAAATGCAAGGCAACAAGAGAAGACTCTTCTTCTCCACAATGTTTTTCATTTAATCAGCCTGCTCTGTAAAGGAAGGGAAATGTTTTCTACTAACTGTGAGTTTCTGGATCTTCCCTGCTAGAGAAGAGTGGAGGCCAACATGCTGGAAAAGAGAAGGCCTGAAGCGTATCCGTAGGTTAGATTTCTGCCGATCACAATGTTTCTGAAATGGTGGGGGAAAAGGTAAGGGTGGGATAAAAAACAAAAACAAAACAACACATTAGTAAAAACCAACACAAGGTAAGAACCTAGGCCTATTTATGCAGTTTTTCTTGTTTTCATTCCAGAAATCTATCAAGACTGCTGTGCAAATGTAATACTGTTCAAGGTCCTTGCACAGAACCTGTTTATTCAGCAAGGGAGTCTCTTGAGAAATGGAGGGCCAAAATATGAAGTTCATTCCCCATTTGTAACTTTCTCCAAGACTTCTATCCAAGCAGTGACATTCTGCAGAGCTTCTCCAGTGGTTACAGTATAAGTTTATTTTAGGTCTATTACACATAGAATCTTACTAGACTTTTGCTTTTTATCCTGCTGCACCCGTCTCCAAAATCTGAAGCAATAACAGCTATGATGCTCCTGAGAACTGTCCCTCTAGAGTTCTTTTTGATATAATAATCTTGGCAGGAAGAAAGACTCTTCCAGAGCATGCAGTAACTATAATGTATACTATGCTGGCTTCCAGCTCACAAAAATTAACTCATTCATCATCATAGAAACATTTTAGAAGCTTTATAATAAAAAAAAAAAACTTACAGCATCTTTCTCAGGGTTACACACTTTCACCCAGAGGATATGGTCCAGGAGCCAATCAATAGGTTTCTCTTTATAAAACATAAATATGAACTCTACAATAAGAGTGATATCTGGAGACTGGAACATTTTACCTGTGGGTGACATAAAGAATAGCTGGAGTTACTTTAGATTAGAGATAACACTTTCTTTTGAAATAAATGAGATAGCAGATATAATATTTGTGCCAAGACAAGAAATATTAGCACTGAACAACTTGAAATTTCAATGTTATTAGAAGCTCCACATCTTTCAACTAAATAAAACAGCTATTCAAACAATAACTTGTCATATATCTTGGTGCTATCAAAATATTCAGTGTGTATTCAACGTAACACAACACAGTCTCCTTAAGAATAGAAATTGTCAGTTTGAAATATTAAGAGAAAGAAAAGTTATGGATTGGCATCTGTTGTTGCCCATGTCACATGTCAGTTCAAGTACCTGAGATGAGGAGTATTGCAGGTGTTATCTGCCCAGTCACACAGCTTCAGCTACTGCAGGTACAGAAAGCAGAGATGCAACACCTACCACTAACTTCAGAATCTCCCAGGCAGGAAATCAAAAGGAAAGAAGGAAAGTTCCAGAACATAACCAGATACAATGCAAATCAAAAAGAAACATCCCACAGTGGCCAGAGTATTTTTCTGCAGTGCATAGGCCATCAGCAGGACTTCTGGGTGGCACTGTGCAAAAGGATTCTTGGGAATCCTGAAGACTGGGAGGCTTAAAGGAGGCCTTTGCAAAAGAAGGAAACTTACAGGTGATGAAGAAAGTCTATCTAATATCAATATGAGCAATCACCTACATGGTTGTGGAACACTCCTCTGGCAGTAGAGGTGTCTGAAGAGAAAGGTGGCCAATGCATGGGGCTACTGTGTCAATCTGAATGCAGCACTTGAAAAAGGTGCCTTGCATGAAAACACTGCTACAGGAGCAACACAACTGGCAGTGGGCCAGTCCAAGGCTGAAGACAGACTTGTGCTTGCAGGGACAAGTGCTTGTATCAGGGACTGCACTGAAGCATTGGAACAGGCCGCAGAGGGGAATGCTTAAGGCAACATCCCTGGAGGTTTTTAAAAGATGTATAGATGTGGCACTTGGGGACATGGTTTAGTGGCAGATTTGGCAGTGCTGAGTTAGTGGTTTGTCTCAATGATCTTTGAGGTCTTTTCCAACAAAAATGATACTATGACCATATGCCAGCTAAAATCCCAAAGGCAGCTCCTGATTTCAAGGCAGATTCAGAAAACATCACCAGGTTTGCAGATGAAGTCTGAAGTCTTTGCTAGGTTACAACAGAGAAGGCAAGGAAGAAAGACTTCATGTAACCATGAATCTCTCAGGAAGACATCTGCTGAAGGGATTCAGTTCTGCAGATGTTGCTGAGATGTGGGCAGTGCTGGGCTGAACAGGGACGGGCTATTGGGACATGTGTGCACCAATGGATCAGAGTCCAGCAGAAGCTCTTTTCCAATGCAAGTCCTCTGTCTATCCACATTTCAGAGTCCTGTACAACACACTGACACACAGCACTCAGGCATGGGAAATGTTTTGAGGGTTTTTTCCACTTGTGAAGAGGCCTCCATAGACTTTCAAAATAACAAGTTCCACAAGTGGGAGAGTTTCTAATATTTTCTCTACTCTTAGGAAAACCAGCAGGAGTAGACATTAAGAGGAGATCACTGGAAGAGCCTTGCCCCTTTCAGAAAGCAGGTCTGATGCAATCTCTTTTCTTTATGACTTGTGCAAAATTGGATCAGAACAAAACCAATGCAAGAATACTCAATGGAAACTCTGAGAGCAGTCTGGAGGTGTCTGAGTTAGACTACATCATCATGCCATACAACAAATAAGGAAAAAACCTCTGACTAAAGCACCAATTATTTCACCTGTTAGAATGATGCTATACTCATTATAGTAGACAATTTACACACTGGGGTGGAAAAGTAAATGTGATAAAACATTAACTGATTTGTCATTGCTATATCAACGCTGTCCCTTACAGAAACTTTTCACCCAGCCCTTTACAAAGCAAAATATTGTCATCACTTTTAAGTTGCTGCTGTAATGAGGTCCTCAAATAGGTATCTCCACATGAAAATACTCTGTGACTAGAATTTGAAGCTTCCACTACGCAAGGCACAACACTTACTAAACTAGGGACAATTGCAAAGCTTTATTCTTAAAAGACATCAAAAAGATGTTATTATTTTTATTAGTACATTGTTTAACATTATTTGTGGAAGTAAATATTTAAAAGTGGGTAGGAAACAATCATATGATTAGTTTAATGTTGTGTAAAATAGTCATGCAGAATAACAGCTTTCAGCTTGTCACACTTCCAACTAAACAGACCCCAATTTTCCTGGTGATTCATCTCTGCCTACTGCTTCCAATGGCATAGGGCAAGAGAGGAGAAAAATATTGTAAGCCCTGATAAAACACCAGCTAAAAAATGGAACTAATGAGATGTTTGTGGGATTTTTATGGGACTGAAACCATCATTTCTAGGTGACAGCTGCTGAGGCAGTCTGTCAGTCACATTTGTTTCCATACAAAGTGCACCTTTCCATGTGTTGTCAGAGAGATGCACAATATGATGAGAGTCAGAAGACAGAAATATTGCCCTAATCTCAATGCCTCTTCCAGGATCTATAAACAGCCATGATGCTCTAGAATCCTTTTATTCTTCTACCCAAGGACAGAGCAGAAGAATCACACTGACTTTTTTTTTCCTTGGACTAGCTCATCTTCTGGAGAACATAAGGATTACTGTCTTGTCCTCACTCACAGACCATGTCACTGAGAACTTGGCATGAAGGAACAGGATGCTACAATTAAGTAAACTGAGAACAAGACTGAAGATATGAGTAGGAATTTACTCTTATCCCTAATTTAAGTTATCCTAATTTCACATAAAATAGAAACAGGATATCAATGCATTATTTACCCCCATATGGCAAACTTGTCTAGGCTCAGAGGCAGTTTCCTCTAGGCTGGCACTCTACTGTCCACCATGAGTCAACCACCCCAGACTGGGGAGTAATCTAATTGCCATGGTTATTTCACAGGGCACAGCAGGGAAAAACAAAGCAAACAAAGCCCAACCAACCAACCAACCACAAAAAACCAAGCCAACCAACCAAGCCACTCTGACACATCCAACTGCAGCTAGTCAGAATAAGAGAGGTGAGCCAGCTGTACCTGCACCGGCATCTTTAGATCAAGCAGCCTCTTTGCCTTACACTCACAGCACTGTGAGTGTAACACTCACACCATGGAAGTGTTCAATGGTGAACACAAAGTCTTCTCGTGTTAATTCCTAATGAACACTGGAGCAAAGATGAACAGGAAACACCCTGATCCCAAGACAAGCCCTTGTCTTCCTTCAGTAACCAAGGACAGACATCCCCATACCACTATCTGAAATGCTGTCACACACAGCTTGGCACAGCTTGGCCCCAGCCCCTCGTCCCTCTGTATAACATCACCTCACTCATCTGTCATTTCTGTCTAAGGATACCACCTGCACAGCAGTTCTGCCATGGATCCATGTCTCCTTTTTTCCATCAAAACAGTCTGTCTACAGCAGCTCAAAACCAGAGCTCTGCAGTGAAGTCTCTGGTTAAACAGTCCTTCAAAGCTCTGGATCCCTGACTGGGCACACCTAGTCCTTGTAATGGAAACCAACCCAGTACAACTCCTACTGCACAGATCCAACACTCAGCCCCTCTGGATCCAAATTAACCAAGCCCTTGCCTAGTCTCTCCTAACCAAGAGCAGCAGCAGCAGCACCAGCCTGGCTTCCCTAGGGCACAGCCACAGCCCAAGAACAAGCAGCAACATTTGCTGAGGTCCTTCTGTCCTGCAGCTCCCATGAGGAAAGTGCTGTGAGCCTCAGAACCACTGAGACACCACCCACATCCAACCTAGGGATTGCCCACTGGCCATCCCCAATATGCAGCCAGAAATCATCAAGCCAAAGGGACCTAACCAAACACTGCAGTGAACACACACTGCCTCAAACTGCAAACTCTGAGAAAGAATGAAGCAATGGCTCATGCTGCACCATGTAAATGCACTTGGTACAGTGCATGGGAACAGTCATAAATCCAGAACACTCTGCTGACAAAACTTCAGAGCTTTTGGATTCTGGGCACATGCAACCTATCATTGTGAGGAAAACTTCAAAATCTGAAAGAACTAAGAGACAAAGGTAAAAGTTTGCTCCATAAAACCCTAGAGATACAAAATGTAGACTTTCTCCAATTTATTTATCTATATTGATAAAAATGACAATGAAGACTGAAAAAAAAGCAAACCTGTAGAACACTTTCTGAATTTTCTGTGTCCTGACAAGACTGCTATTCATTTTTCAGTCCTTTTAAAGGCCATCCTTAGTGAATTATTCTGGCCATCTCAGTATTTTGCTGGCAAATACAAGGCACATACTAAATGAAACACTTTGTTTTCTAGTTCTCTGAACTGCCAATATCTAAATCATTTTAATTCTTCCACATGAGCATCACAAATATTGAGTCTACACCAACAATAATTTTACACCTGCAAGCACATATTCTAGCCATAGCTGATGTTTTCAATGCTTTCCTTGGTAATGATATGCAAATTGCTGGCATTAAAACCAGAATCTCTTTGAAGTTATTTAAAGCTCAAATGTTTGACTTGCTCTACTCTCTCCCAAACTTCAACTATGTGCACAGCTTGAGCAAAACTGCAATCAGAGCAACTTAAAATAATCAAAACAACAGGCCTTAAAACATTAGGACACAACAAGACTCCGAGGAACTGCACAAGACAACCAAAAGGCCATTTCAGACCACTGCATGAAATGTTTGTGACAGCTGGCATTATAGGTCCAGTGCAAGGATTGCAGTTCCTCTGGAAAACACTTCAGCTCACAGGCAGTTGGAAGACAAATCATTATTCCTCATAAAAAGACAGTAGGACTTTCCTAGATTATGTCACAGGTCTCACAGTGCAAACAAGAATCCAGAAGAGTAAAAGATACATCTCCTTCCCCAGAGCTTCTTAAGGAAACAGCATACATCTCACCCATTATTTATTAGATACTTGACAGCATTTAAGACTATGCTTTCAGGATTAAAAAAAACCAAAGGAAGCAACGTCTGTTCTGTGGCAGAGGTGACAGAATTCTATAATCCTGCTGTCAGCCTAAATAGCTACATTTGCCACTTCCTCGTGTAGCACTTGCATAAATTAGATTTTCAGTTCAGAAATACACTATGACAAAAAATCCCACATTTTTACCTCGCAATCTTGCAAGCTAAACAAGGTTTCCAACAGCTAACAGTGAATCAACCACACCTCTCTTTTTGAGAGATTATTTCTAAATCAGTAGCATCTAGACAACAGTTGCCCAGGGAAGCTGTGGATAATCCATCCCTGGAAGTGTTCAAAGCCAGGCTGGATGGAGCTCTGAGCAACTTGGGCTAGGGACAGGTGTCCTTGTCCTTGGCAGGGGGGTTGGAACTGGATGACTTCAAGGTCCTTTCTACACCATTCTATGATTCTGTGAATTCAGTGCTCTACATTATTTCTTGGACATCTACACATAAAACTGGTCCCCAGTTACAAACTACTGTTGCTCTTCCCAAAGGTATCTGCATTACCAAATTGCCACACTATCAGTCTGCATCAAGATCCATAAAGGGATGGAGCAGAGATGAGAAAAATCTACATTACTTGCATAAAATTTCCAAGCAATATATGGTTATAGCACACCAATGTGTACCAGAGCCAAAAGTTTTAGTTGCTCCTATGAATACTAATTTTCCTCTCAAAGCTTAAAAACATAATAAGTAGCTATATTGGAAGAAGAAAAAAAGCTAATTTAATTTTTTGAGTAGAAAAGTAACATTAAGATCTGTAGCCATAGCTAAATGCATCTGAAATTCTACTGATATCATCCAGTTAAAAGGAGGCAAACAAATATGATACAAGGAACAAAGAACAGGGATGCAAGCAGCAGGAGCTAACAACTAAATTTAACTACAGCTACTTTCAGAACCCACACTGCCCAGAAGTATACAGACAGTGTAGAAAAACAAGATATTTTTAAAGAGTTGTGCTTTTCATTAAGCCAAGTCTCAGTATTAAGAACTATCTACCTACCCCACCAGGCTTAAACACTGTGCTCTCTACAACAGAGAATAGAAAGCTGGGGTGGGGGCTGAAATACACAAATACAAAGCAAGTTAAGTGACCTGAAATACAACTGCATGGGGTATACAGCACACGTCCTAAAGTGTAAGCTGGTTTTATGCACATTTGGTTTTATGCACATTTGATGTGTCATTCTTGTAGAGTGGCAATTTGTAAGTGAGCACACTCTACTACTAAATCAGGCAAAAGTAGAATAGATGTAAATTCTATAGCTCAGGGACTCCATAGAGAATTACACTTAAAGTGCAATTAGACTGGAGCTTAAACTCAAATTGTAGGCTGAGTCTGGGTTAGTGTTTAACTGTTCAACAGTAGAAACAAAATCTTATCAAATGCTGTATTCAAGCAGTCTCTGCTAACACAAAACAATGTTGCACGAGTTCCCCAAGCAAGAAGTTTATTTAGGGCAAGATATCAGTAAACTACTTAACTTCTTATTTTTCCATGCTAGGCAGCATAATTTCCTATTTCTCCCACCTCTAAGGCCACAGAACCAATTCCATAATTATTTCATCAGCAGTGTATCTCTGATGGGAGCCCAAAGCAGTTAGGTGATGACCAGGTGTATAAGGAGATGTCACTCTGCCCATTTCCTTTCCTCCTCCCCACTGTTTCTGTAGGCTAAACTGGCAGGCAAGTCTACAAAGTCTACATTCTGTACCCTAACATGGCATGTAGGAGGGATAATTTCTGTTTTCCTTTCTACTCCAGGAACCTCTGAGACCCCCAAAGTCAGGGAACTATTGCCCACCTGATGCTGAGCTGGAAACAGGACAGCACATATTCAAGTAGTGCCAACATGCTCAGTTCTCAATAAAACCATTATGGGTCACTGAGCTAAAAATGAAGCCATTCTCTGGGAAGTAGACCCAAAGGAAAGAGAACAAGAATTTCCAAGAGAATGACACAACTCAGGGCTGCACTTTTATCTGTTACACATAGGATTTTGTTTCTGTTCTGATCTTAACTTACAGCCTTCATATTGGAACCATTTGTGTTGGCCACAGGAATCTCCAAAGTCTGCCCCAGCTTTTGATTTTTCCTTGCATATCTCCAGCTTGCTGCTTTTAAAAAGATCATGACACATCAGTGTAGTAATGAAATAACCTTTTGACTTGTAAAATCCCTTCCAAACTTCTCTATCATTGCTTTTCTGTCAAGTCTAGTGTCTCTCCATGAAAAGATGTTGTGTAAGAGCAAAGAACCATAATTTCCAGAGCACCCTGACATCTGACCCACAACCCAAGATCCTGCATTACCTCCTCTCATTGTTGCTAATTGCAAATGATAGACTGCATCTAGGAAGGAACAGATTGTCCTAACTTCTCCTTCATGAAGTAGAAAGATGGAGCTAGAACAGGCTTTGCAACAAACTGATGCCTGCTAATTCTTGGAAATTCTGGCACAAACAGCAAGTTATTTTAGGTGGAGCTAATTTTCATGGTTTTTCTTTCTTTCAGTCAGTTATGCTTTAATTACATTTTCATTTTAACAGCAGCTAAATTAAAAATAAATCATGCCTTGCAGTTTGATTGTTAGTATTTTTATAAATTAACTTTTGGTCATAAAAATTCCCTCTGTTCCAACAGTTTGAGTATGCCTCCATCATGCAAAAGTATATAAAACAAATGAGGGGCAAAAGCAACAACCATGAGCTAAACCAGAGTTCCAAAAAAAAGGCAATGAATTTCTACTTCTTGGTCTATTTCCAGCACAAAGAAGATAGCTTTGAAGGCAGATCACTATTAATTCACAGTCTGAGTACAAATGTATTCTTTCAAACTGCAAAAGTGAACATTTTCTTACCAATGAAACCCAGCTGAGAAAATTCTAGAATCATCCAATCTTCAGAAGCAAGCTGAAGTGCAAAATTTTTTATTGTGCTGAAATAATTCTGCTTGACAACAATGTCATCTTCAAGCTAGAGGAAGGTAGAAGCAATATCAACATTAAAAAAAAGCACTAGCAAAGCAATAGAAAAAAGTACAGCTAGGAAATACTGACTTATAATAGATTGCTAACAAATAGCCATGTATTTCTAATGCTAGCACTGATATAAAACATAGATGCCATAGCCTGGAATAACTATTGTAGGGATCAGTCTGTCTGTTTGTGGAGAACTAATACAGAATCCTTGTGGAAAAGTAATACAGAAACTAGTAAGAATCCACAAACATATCTCGACTTCTTACTTTAGAACACTGCTTTTCCAGCTTCTTTCTTCAAAGGAAAAACATCCATGACATAATGTTGGTCTAAGTGGCATCATCAGAACAAGTTTAATATCTGTATTATCTGCTTACTCACAAATGTTAAGGGCACTGAAAGAGTTCCTCCTCTGAGACAAGAGGCTGAGACACACAATATCTGCAGTCCACAACCACCCAGCCCAGGCTGCAGAGCTGCCAACATGGGGTGCTACATCCCTTTAATTCACAGTAGGGGCTGTAAGGCCATTGCTGCAGTAGGGATCCTGCTCCTCCTGTCCTTTCTCACAGTGCAGTCATGCCTTCCCCCTCATGCTGGCACTAATATTTGTGCAACTTCTCAGTATCAAACCAGACTGTCACATGCTGTTGGCTCTGCAGCTTCCCAGAGAGCTGAGACTCCAACAGCTCTCAGAGAGGAGTCAGCAGAGCTTTGTGAAAACCAGATGAGATGTGTGGGACTTTACACCCCAAGGACACAGGCACAACATCTAAATAAAGATCATCAGTGCAGTTACTAAATCTGCAATACCTGTAGGTAAGAATTCTACTTCAAAGCAGAAACACATGATAGGAACAATTCTGAGCTAAGGGGAAGAACTACTTAACTCTGTGGTTAGAAACCTCTTAAAAAAAAAATTCCATGTCTACACACAACAGTCATATTAAAGTGACACTGCACTTTCAAAAGAAAAAAATAGATTTTAGCCTCATTCATTCCCACTAAAAACTATGCTGGCTTTTTTTTTTTTTTTTTTTTTTTTTTTTTTGCCTAGGCAACTCAACAATAATTCATTCCAGGGACAAGGAAAAAACAGTTAAGCTGTTTGGATTCCTTCACTTTTTTTTTGCTAGGCCTCTTATGAGAAGTGACATAGGATAAATTACTTTCTACTTCAGAGACAGTGAGACAGTATCCTGCTCAAATTACTTTCCCATATACCATAACCACCATACTTAATGCCCTCTTTAAATGATGGGATCAAGTTCTCTGTTCTGTGTACATCCTTCTGATGAGTCCAACAACATAATTTCCAGAGACTCATTTGAAAACTTGTCTCAAAATAAAGAAGAAAAATTTACCTGAATATAATAAACCCCTTTTTTCTGGGCATACATCATAAGAAAACAATAATCCAAGTTTTGTTTTGTTCTCCATCTGAAATTAAATTGAAAGCTTAAGGTTTATGAAAAACTGTTATTTCAATACAAGCTGGCAATATAAAGTAAATTTCATTATGAAGAATGACACATATTAGTGAAATGTTAGGACAGCTGCTTTTGGCATTGTTCCCTCAGGAAATCCACTGTCTGAAAGAAAAAGGAACAAAGCTTTCACCTTATGCTTTAATACAGACATCAAACTGGTTTAATTTGAACCTGACTTTGTGACAACTACCTGACATTTCACTAAAAACACATGTGCATTTAAAATGGTAATTCAACAAGTACTACTGGGTTTTACCCTGTATTTCATGAAGAAAACCATCAAATGAAAGAGTCCACATAGAGGAATAAAAGTACATCAAAAGTCTCAGTTGTCCTCTCATATTTAAACACTAAATGGATTCAACCAAGCACAGGCTCTGATCATGCACAGAGCAGCATGTAGCTAAGAATGAGATGGATTCATAGAGCACTTTTAGCATCCCCACACTTGCAAGAATTACAGTAAGAAAACATTTCAAGAATTCACATCCCACTTGCCGTTTTATAAACAACCAAAGTGTGGGTGTGGGAGGAGATGGGAAAAGATCTGGGAGAATAAACCTACCTCACTCTCTCTTTTGAGTCTCCAAATGTTTCTTTCAAGTTTGTCAAGTCAGGATAGTATGTTGCAGGAGGGGCTATTACTTCCACCAAGCCAGAATTGATCTCTGTAGAAAACCTGTCAATGGAAACACCCTGAAGTCACACGAGGGATCCTGAGTCCTGTAGTTCCTGCTCCTGTCTGTTGGAGCAGTTGCTGTGTCTGGGTATGAGGACTTGCTCAAATGAGCCATACAGAAGAACAGCAGTATAGAAAAAAGCATTGTTTTCCTTAGCATGCCCTTCAGAGCTCTATCACCTTCTGCCAATCAGAATTAAACTACATTCTAAACATTTTTTGTGCTTTTTCAGAAACTAGTGATTTTTTTCCTACAGTTCTCTTTGAACATAGAGAATACAAGGCCCTAACACAGATGTCACAAATTTCCCTTCATGTTTAAACAATCCCATCTGTTTATGGTGCATCAAATAATTTAATCGCACTTACTGTTTTACAGTTTAACTGACTGAATCACTGCCTCTTAATTTGTCTTACTTTTTTGTTCAAAAGTCCAAAGCTCCACAAAACAAAAAGGCATGACCTCTTATTTCCAGAATATTTTTAATTGCTTATTACAACCTGATTTATTTTATCACGAATAAACTAAGAAATACCCAATTAAAACTACAACTTACTCTCTTTCCAGGCTTGCAACAACACTGTTAACATAATCAAGATCAGTCTGGGGAAAAATAAACAAACAAACAAAGAAGAATAGATTAATTGATAGTTCTAGAGTTACATGTCAAAAGAACAAGTGAAATAAACATTGCAGGTGGCTGTCCTTGAAAATCACTTTCATTTGTAAGATATTGGAGCAATAAAAGAACACAATACACATGTAGCTATGTCTTACCTCTAATACGAGAATTTTTTTGTAAACAGAGGGGAATAATTATCTCATACCTGCACTTAACAGAAAAGTGTTAGAACTCACGCCCTTGATGACAAAATGATCACTGTTTGTGTAGGAAGAACTTGATATTATTATTATTATTATTATTATTATTATTATTATTATTATTATTATTATTTATTATTACTATTATTATTATTATTATTGTTATACAATCGTAAAAATATATAAGAAAATATTACCAAAGAACTCTTTCTGGAAAACAGACCATTGAACACACACTCACATACACACTCACTCCTCTTTCAAAAGTACACCTCCTAAGCTTTGCATTTAAAGCAAATACCCCAACCACAGAGAGCAGTGAGCCTGCTGCCTTTCTGACCAGGGTTGCTTTTTTGCATCAGAGACTAAATCTGAGGGACAACCAATCCCATCAATCACTCACTGCTCATAGATGCAACAATTCTAAAAATTACTTGTTGGTGAAAATACAAATCGTGACATCCTGGAAAAGTCTAGATCATCTACATTCCCAGGACTGGGCAATTATTCAACCTGGCTGTACACATGCATTCCAAGAAAAGAGAATTTGTGAACTCATAAATGTGACTGAAAACCCTGGTCTTTGTTACACTTACTAATCTAATGATTTGACATATTGTTTAAATTTTTGAAAAGAATAGTCCATAAATCAACCCAGATTCTGGCTCATGAGGATTCTGGAGAAAGAGTTGTCTTTGAAATACCAGAAACAAAGGAACAGTTCAAATTTTTTCTGATGAATTTGTAACACAGGATATCATTAAAGGATTATACACAGAGAATAAATCCCTCCCAAGCCTTTCTATAGAACTGCTAATCTTGTTTGATAAAGGTGCTCACCCATTGATCTTAAAAAACCACCATTTCTATTTTTTAAAGGTTTATTTTTATGAAATCAAACATAATGCCAGTGACGCACGCTTTTCAAAAAGGATAACAACAGCAGTGGATTTCTTCCAAAAGCAGATTTTAAATACCACAAGAACATGTGAGGAGAAAGTATTTCTTGTAATTTTGTCATAGGTGTTTTCTTCTAAGTGCTATGCCTAATGCTGGGCAGAGGTTTTAGTAAGCTGGTAAGGTGCTCACAATTTAAAAGTCATCTTGCACTGTGTTCCACACAAGGAGACTCACAAGTCCATAAGGACCTTTACATATCACTGTTTAAATACCTCTACGGGTTGTTTATACATGTTTAATTAATAGAATGGAGTTACACATAAATTCTTCTGTTTTATATAACAGCTGCAAATCACAGTAACCTAGTGACTACCTAACAATAATTTTAATATAACCATCTTTATTGAAGCATTTCTTTTTCTCTCTTTTCAAAGCCTTTTAAGCACTAAAAATACAGAAGCTGCAGTTCAAACGTCCTGTGAAAAGACAATAATTTGCATTTCAGTTGGCATGCCAAATTTCAATTACTCAGTCCAGCATTAAGAACTCCAACACATGTAATACAGTCCATACTGAAACTGCATAGAAAAATATAGGATTTATATATATCTACACACACACACACTCAGCAGAAACACAGCTAGTTTCTATTCAGTTTTCCAGAGATTAAAATAAATGCCAAACTTCAAGCCAACTGGAATCATATATTCGATCACAAGCCTGTGCCTTAGTGCACATCTCCTTAGCAGGAACATAGTTGACCTATTTTCCAGACTACCATGAAACCTTGCTACTGCTTGTAAAACCTTACACTCTTGTACAGAAAACATCACAATCAGAAGAAAAAAAAGTCTGGAATAAGAGAGTTCGTGTACTTCATGTGAAAGGCTGGCAGTTCCCCCAGTCAGAGCTGCAATCACAATAGGATCACATCAAAAAGATGCAGCTTGAAGTCTTCCAACCTCATATGGTAATCTTGGCTGTCACAAAAAGTCAAGAAGGTCTGGTCTAGCTCCTATGAACATGAGATATAGAAAATACCACTGCAGGCTTGGTAGACAACTTTTCCTTCTCAATCAGCAATCACTGTATCACTGTAGTGCAAAAGCACATGACACTTTTAGAAAGAAAAAGAACACATAGATGAGAAGAGTTGATGTCATTTTTCACATGATCAAATGCATTAAAACACTGTATTCTGCCATGATTTTAAAATAAGCAGTTGTATTTCTATCTACCAGCTCCATACGAGATTCAGAACCAGGATTTCAACACAAAACATCTTTCTACATCAGAACTTCAAGAGACAATTGAGTCCTTTTACTGCCCAGTCTGACACTAAGTAGGATCTTCAGGACATGTCCCAAGAAGGTGGCACTTTGATGTTAAGTCATACAACATCATGAAATGAGAATACACAACAAATTTGATAAGCTGTGACTATACCCAAGGGAAGAGCTAAGCAGACAGAAGACTTTGCAGGGTTGCAATGGAAGGAAATCTGGAATAGCTAAATTAAATCTAAGGATCTTTCAAGCAGTATCAGTAAATTCAATCAGCAGCTTAAAAGTAACAGAAAAAAAATCCATTATTAATCAAAATCTATTCCCCATTTTCAAAGAATGAAGGGTTTACTGCCTTGACAAAATAAGATACAAGGTCCTCTTTATCAGCCTGAAGGACACAAGACTGCTCATCTCCAATAATCTTAAACAGGACAAGACAAATCCAGATTTATAAAAAGAAGCCACCAAGAAAGAAAATGTGTAACTGTTCTTTAGGCCTCCCACAAAAATCATCTGGTTGACTTTGGAGTAAACTTGATGAACTTAAAATCTGTTTCATGGCATCAGTGCTGCTTGTAGATATTGAAGTGAAATGTTGCTGGTGATCACAACAATACAGCTATGAATGCTTTTGTCTATCAAACCCAAAGGTATTACTAAAACTATCATTATTTCTTACTAAAACTCCTAAGGCTGAAGATTAAAAGAAATCCCTAGAAATTCTGGACCCATAAAAAAGAAGCACAAATGAGTATTTTAAGAAGAAATTCCTTTTAAGCAACTAAGTGCAAAATTGTGTTAGGCCCCAACCAAAGATAATTTCCAGCCACAAGGATATATCTTATCAATGAATCACATGAAGCCTTACAAAGAACTTTGTCCTGGTGAGTGGATCTCAGAGAACTTCATAATGAAAGGCATAAGTAGAGATGGTTATTTTAGTATCAGCAGTTCAAATAATTTGGCCTGTTCTTTCCTCCTAGTCATATGAAATAACTGATGTTCAAGACAATGCAAAACACTTGAAGTAAGACATCTTCCTTTATTCACAACAGACCAAGGATTGATTCCCATCAGCACCTTGCTTCCATCAAAGGCAGCCATGAAATGATACATAGCAAAGAATAAGAACAAGAACAAGAACAAGACAAACACATACAACAACCCCTCCTGCTATCATCCACGCTTCAACTACTTTCAGTTCAGGTTACTTCCTGAGACAGATGTGATTTTGTGTATTTAACATTCCACAGTAGACTCATCTTCAAGGTAGCTCATTAGCATCCCCTTGAGCCTATCAAAACCTTCAACAAGAAAAGAAGATTCTAGTTTATGAGATATGTGCAGTTTTATAAGCCAGTGAACATGGCTGTATCTAAGGTTTAACTGCTTACATCAACAATATTGATGACAAATGCATGTAGAATGCTTTGATGAACCTTTCTTTTAAAAAAGCTTCAGATTCTGTTGTAGAACAGACTGAAGCTGCAGACTGTCAGTGAAATAAGTTTTAAAATTTCCTCTGTTTTTGCAAAATGCTGTACTCCAATTCTCTAAAGCACTTTTTTGAAGTGCTGGCAAGGCTGCACGTCACATTTGTCTGAACAGACATCATAATTCTCAACAAACACAGAAAGAGCCAGAGCAGCAGTGAACTTTCTGAACTTCTTGATTGATTTTTATGAGTGAGTGTGTGCACAGCAAAGCAGCAGTATACATTAGCTAGCCGACAAAATGAGAGCTTAGAAAGTTCTGATGAACAGCTAGCCAAATGTCCTACAAAACCAAGATTTTTTCTTTTAAGAATCAACCCTTTCATACTGTTAAATCCTGACTTCATACCCTCAAGGATGACAGAAGGTAGACTGTTTGTAAAAATGTAAGAAAAACCATGGCATTTAAGACCAAAAGTTGATTTACTGTCCTAAGTGGCAGATGCATAGAAAAACAATTGCAATCATAGAATCTCTCAAGCTAAAAAGGACCCAAAAGGATCATCAAGACCAACATTCAGTTCCCCAAATGACCACCTAAAACTAAACTATATGACTAAAGGCATCATCCAAATGCTTCTTGAGCTCTGACAACCATGGCACCATGGCCACTTCCACTGGCAGCCCATGCCCATGACTGACACTCAGTGAGGAATCTTTTCCTGGCGTCCATTCTGAACTTGCCCTGATGCAGCTTCACACCATTTCCACGTGTCCTTCACTGGTCACCAGAGAAAGGACATCAGTATCTCCTCTCCACTGACCACCTCAGGGAAGCTGCAGAACTGTGATGAAGTCACCTCTCAGTCTTTTCTCCAAAGTTTAACAAACCAAGAGACCTCACCTCCTCCAAAGTTCTCCCCTTGAGGACTTTCACCACTGTGGAAATTTATCCCGACTAGATTATCTGGATTATCCAGATCTCAATTCTCAAATGAAATCTACTAGAAGCAAGACTTACATTATTCAAGAACACCCTGAGGAACAAGCACGCTAACCTGCATAGTGTGGTCATTTCATTGCTTACTAATTACAATTTTGTTTGATCTTGCATCATCCCATAGCACAAGAGTGGGATTTTACCACGTATTTCATATAATGA